ATTTTGATGTTAAATTATATGTAATTGTTTGATTAAATTCACTTGATGGTTGTTTTCATTTATTTGTTGAGAGAGTTATCTATAAAGATGGAAGAACATATATTTGTGATTAGATACTTGTTATATCCATGCAAAATTGATTTAATAAAGGGAACATAGATGACCTGTTTATCGTTTATTATCGTGAGTCTGCGTGACATCATATTGTTGGAAATCGTATCTTTGAGTCACACATGCACAAATATTATATAATATCAAATGTTTATCACTATAATGTGTATTTTTCAAACATGTTCTCGTTTCTATTTGATTGTTTTAACTTAGTTTATCAAGGAATGGGCCCTGTAACTTGCATATCAAATGAAACATTGTACCATTGTAAATTCCAATTCCATGTTCCTTTAAGCCGGCCAACTTTATTACACCGCAATTTAAACAATTGCTTTCCGATATCATTCCATTGTCTATCTGTTTACAAACGTTTAGAGCACTTTGCTCATAGGGTTGGATAACTGATTTCAGTCGATTTGTTCCGGGTGATCGAGGTCAATGCTCTTGGTAACTGACATCACTTGTTATTCGGTAAACACCCGAGTGGCGTCAAATAGACCTGGGGGTGTTTCACAAAGATCCTAAGTCGAACTTAACTCTAAGTTGGACTTAAAGGTAAAGACCAGTTATGGTCATGCGATTGCATTGTGAAAGAAACGTTGTGGAATCGATCAGAAAAGGTTGATCATCTAGCATCTAGCATCTGCAAGGTTCTGGAATCATCAAAATGATAAGAAATTTGGCCCGTTCTTCGTAAAGTTACAAGCACTATACACAGAAAGTTGTATATGGGACTACCCTATATCTCTCACAGACCATGAGAGAAACAAATTTACCAAATATATGAATTAGTAGGCGGTTTCCCGTCAAATTTTTTATCATCATGTATTAGTCAAAACATATTCTTTCACATGATTGGTAATGAGAGCTTCCATTTCATTTTTTGAAATTGGGGCGTTTCCATTCCAATACTGGTCTTTACCTTTAACAATTATGGAGAGCCATTTGTAGCCTTAAACAAAGTATATTCAAAAGTGAAAATGCAGGTATTTTAGACTTTTTATAAATTCCACATCAACAACATGACATCTCCTCGATAATAGAAAATATGAATGATTCGTATCAACATTTTTTGCCTTTTAAAATAACTTTTACAAAATATTTGATTAGATGCTAACGGTTTTCCATAATTGTTAAGTCCAACTTAGAGATAAGTTTGACATAGGATCTTTGTGAAACACCCCCAGGTTACTAACTTTCCCGAGGACCTAGTGACGAGGTATTCCATTAACCTGTTATTATACAACACCTACGTGGATCCTTGTCATTTGATTGAAGGATTGTTGGTCACATGATATTCAATAGATGTTATATTGCACGGTCGTGCATTTTTGGTTATATGCACCGTGCATTTTGGTTATGCAGACTGCGTTACCTCTCAGCCGTGCGCGCGCGTATCCCTGCGTGTATCTGACGCGAAGGCAATCTGAATGTAATCGAGAAGGCTTGATTCCAACTTTAATTTATCTTTAATATAAGGAGCAAAGCATAATTTGTTGATTAACGTTCTATTAGATCTTCTTCGATGTTGTATAAAACAAATAATGAATGTTTTTCATTCGTTCAATGGTGCGAATATTTTCATTCGTTGAAAGATTAACGTTAATTCTATTCAACTCGGCTGACGCCTCGTTGAATAGAATGTTAATCTTTCAACTCATGAAAATATTCGCACTATTGAACTCATAACCATTCAATATTTGTATATTAATGAATGGATGAACTACAATATTTGGAATCCAGTCTGCATACATCATGTGCTGCTATTTCGGGCAAGCCTTTAAGTTGTCAAGAACAACATGCATAACATTTAATTATGTTTGTAAACCGGCCTATTCCTCATGACTACGCGCCTTTAAATCATTTTATATAAGAGGGCGTTATAAATCATTTGTTCCTTTGAGCCCACGAAGGCTTTGTATCGCCGAAAGATAACAATATGCTCTCAGATATCTATATTTGCTCCCAAATATTATCATTTCAGTGTGCTTTGTTTACGAATGTGAAAAAGGTCCATGAACGTAGTCTTCTAATGAAATAAATGCTATATTTGGAAGACATTTCAATGTTAAATTTGATGAGCTAGACTTGACAGAATATCATACGCAAAATCAATAACTTTTATTTCAACAGATTACGAATACACAAGTACCATTCATAACAACAAGAAAAAGGGGATTAAAACTAACACATCAAATAGAGTTCTCTTGGTATTAAACAAACTGCCTTAAAACTTGCTGATTAAATATGGTGCTCAATAGTTGTTAAAAAAATATCTGGAATGATTTTCAAAATGGTTAACTTACGTTTTTATAAACTACAAACGTGTTCATGGTGTTTCAATGTAGATAAGGTCTGTTTTTCCTCAGGAAAGTATGATATCAACTTCTAAAACTTGTATCATATACTTAATTGAAAGGTGAACAAGTATCTTGCATTTTTTGTATTTTGTGGAAGTAAATAAAATGGACTGGAGTGAATGGATAATGCATTGTATGGTTAAACTTATACTTTCATTGAAAAGCCTCCTTCCCTTCTGAAATTTTCAAGGTGTGTGACTGTGTTTTCTTGTGTTTTTTGTTTTAAAAAACAAAACAAAAACAAAAAACAAACAAATCAAATTTTGCTTCGAATGAACCGATTTCACATCATGTTTAGGGAAAGGGTTGCATGGGGTACAAGTAAGGGGGAGGTATGATGAGAGTTGTGTAGGGGGAGTTTAAGGTGTGTGGGTGCGTGTTCGTGTGTGCGCATGTGTGAGTGGGTCAAGTGGCAAGTTCCATTTACCCTTTGGACAGGCTTTCATTTATATTTCATTGGGGGGGGGGGGTCAAATATATTTGTTTTAAATGAGATTAAACAAAGAGACCAGTAGCTATGTATTCATTGGGTTTTTGTAAAGGAATGGGCAGGTGTACAAACATGTAATACAGACAATTAAGAAACATCAAACCTTTACATCTGATTTCTAAGTTGTTATGTCACATTTATTGTAACTAAAATGCACTTTGACTTGAGTGAGATTTCAAATGGAATTGTAGTAGGCCTACATACAATGACAAATAATAATACATCCATGTCATGTACCTTAAATCATATTAAATTTGGTCTACTTGGATTAGTATTCTTTACTCATTTTACTTGAATAAATACCAGAATTTCAGCATTAATTATTTGACATTTTGAACCAATGATTTTTATACTTCAAAACTTACAAACATAACATTGAAATTCCTTTAAAAAATCATTGTTACTACAATTGTTAAAAATACATGTACTTGGAAAGAAACTGTGTTGGTGAATTCAAAAGGAAAGTCCACCCTCATAAACTCTCATTTTCTTAAATATATATATATATATATATATATCAGCAAAAAATAAATGGACGTTATTTATAATTAAAGAATTTTGTATGATTATTTTATACAAACTAAACATATCCTCTTTCAGATTTGCAATTGGAATCATGCATGAGTGAGCGGAGCTATTTAACATTCAATGAGTCGCTGGAAGAAATTTGCAAAAATGGGTTATCTGGCCATTCAAATGTTGATGAGCATTTCCATCTTGAAGGGTCAAATTAAAGAATCAAAACAAAAATAACGACAAACACACAAAAAAGAGGCATTTTGAGCGTGCTTTTCATAACCATGCAGTCCTGAGAGACAGTGAGACTACAGTTAAAATCCATAGCTCAATCCTCCTCATTGTTTCTCATTTTCTGCTTCCATTGTTGAACAAGAATCTTTGCAATTTTCTTAATCAGACCTTCTACGGGTCAAATGACTGCCCATCTAAACATACAAGCTTAAAGCTTGATTTTAATTGATTTTGGTAGAGTTTTAATTTTCCTTAATTTGATACATATTTTTATTCTGCATTCATTGACATTTGATTTGAAAATTTTGAATAATGAGTGTCCACTTTCTTTTGTTTGCTGAGTGAATGTAAATATATATATATTTAGATATGAGTGTTGTCAATGTGAAAAAGCATATTATAAATACTGAGACCTCAAATGATTTGACTGCAATCATAACAAAATATCCTGATTCATCATCATGTTATGAAGAACAATACACTATAAAATAAAAAATCCAATAAACGGGAAGGGAAATAATGTGGAATTTCCTTCCCTTTTGTGCGATAAATTTCTTGTCAGTGACTGCTTTGAGAGGAAAGGTGGTACTTATCGGAAGGACATGACCTGAGAGAAAGTTAAAGCTTGTCTGCTCATTTCAATATTGCAAACATCTTAAAGACTGGGAGAAAGTAAAGTTCTGGTATAGCGTTAGGGAAAAATTAATTTCAAGCTTTCTTACTCTTTTATGTCAGATTGGTATATATTAATACAAATAGTAACATTGTCCCCTGTAAAGATTGCTTTCCAGATACCCACATATAACAAATTTGGCGAGAAATAGCTGAAAAGTTTGGACCAAACTTTCATGCCACATGTGTACATGTATGTAGTCCCAAATATTTATTTCTGTGTGCAGTGCATCTTGTATTCAGCTAGATTGTGTCAATATTCTCTGCCATCATTGTAATGATTCCAAAACCTCATAGTATTCATCGATTCCTCTGCTTACACCAACCTTTCCTGAGAACTTCTACGACAGCTTCTTTCATGAATTCATCTTCATCTCTAAGAGGTGTAACCCCTGAAAATAAGAAGGGGCACCCTCGATACTGTCCACCTCACACACATGTTTAAAAGCCAGCTTTTCAGATCTGAATGATACGAAGCAATATTTAAGACCAGAAACTTTTGTGAATTGCATATCTTCAATATCGCATCCATTTTTATTCAATATCTTTTGCAGCACAAAACTCAAAAATCAAATCTCAACCTAAAGCCAACATTTAACGCACACAATGATTTTCTGGTTTTGCAGTGGTGTTGGAAATTGACAGCAAAGCATTTTTCACCAGAGCTTATATTGTATAGTTCCCCTGTTTCCTCCAAATGATGAAAATATTGATAAATATCCTGCCTTGATGTTATCTGTCGTCTGTCAGCAAGAAATCCTGGATTTCCTCTTTCATCTCGGACCTGCAAAAAAATAAACAATAAAAGAATGCCATTGTACTCAACATTAAACATCAACTCACTTTGCAACAGGAAAAACATTAAAGATCATGTTGAGTTCTGGGCCAAGTAACACAAAGGTTTGCGATCAATTGCAGATTTAAAACAATGATTATGATTCGATAACGATCAGCCTTCTGAACAATATGCGCATGCAACCATGACCTAGGCGTTTAAGGCTGTCCATGATCAGGCCCCAGGATATGTGGCTGGCTTCCCTGGTAGAAGAACATCATTCTCGTCCGGGATTACGCTCGCGAGGACTACTTCTTCTCCAAGTTCCACGTACCACGTACAAGACTCTGGATGTATGGTGATCGTGCCTTCTCTTCAGTTGCTCCAGGCCTCTGGAACTCCCTACCTTCCATTCTTCGCAACACCGACAAGCTAGAAAGCTTTAAAGCCCGTCTGCACTAGTTTGGCCAGGGGGATTAGACCTCCCTGCAAGGTTACTGACAGGTGGTTATCTCATCAAATCAGCTCTCAATTAAAATAAGAAAAAGAGGATCACGGGGGACCAATATGCACCGATTAGGCCTTGTTTTCTATATAGAGGGCGCAAGTAGCTATAAGTAGTGCAGTGTGGCTTTAAAGCAGGCCTAAAAACCCATTTTTTTCAAGCAAATGTGTAATCTGTAATTATTGGAAGAGCGGGCATCTTTGAATGTGTGAAACAGATAAATGGGGCCATACAATTACAAGTGCTGTGAATCATCATCATTGGCCATTGTCATCATTTTTTCAATCAAATGCAACTGCAAACCTTTATGTGACGGGGCCCTAGTCTAGCCATTGCAACATGAAAGGTTGATGATTTGATACATAAACTTGGTGTGTAATGTGAGGCTTTCAAATCATCAAAGGGATATGAGAAATTAACTCAATCTCACTGGAAAGCACATGCACTGCACACAGAAATGGGTATACGGGACTACACAAAAATGGAATGACTGTTTGGTCCAAACGCTTGAGCTCTTTCTTATCCTGTTTATAATGCGAGGGCATGTAAAGAGCAATCCTTTTCCAAGACATTTCTACAATGAATTCTTTCAAACTAACATAAACAGAATGAAAAAGCTCAGAAACTACATTTTACTTTTCGAGAACCCAACCTTCTCTTTAATCCCATACAATATGTGCCCATTTTACATTGTTTTATAATATGTCATTTGATGCCAAGAATGTTTATAAAAGAACTATAAATATTGACATCCTAAGATTTACAACATATATATATATATATATATCCTCCCAGACAAAACTTTAGGAAAACAAATTATACCGTACCTTCTCTGCCTTCTTCCTGCTTCTTCTAAGACATACCCTGGGAGGGAGTTCACTCCTTTCTATAAAAATTAAAAAATAAAGAGAAAAGAAGAAGAAATTAGACGAAAATTATCAAATGATGTGGAGGAGAAAACTAGAATGACAGCATGAAGCCACAAAGCTTTGCAGGAACAAAGCCCTACAAGTCGTAATGCATATTAACAAAGGGGCTGAATTGAAAGACTGTAGAATAAACTCCAAAGGTACTGCAGTGTAGCTGATTATTGTTTATGAATTCATTGGGAAGATGCATTAAGCTTCAATCAAGTCACAATGAATGAAGTCAAATCAGCATTTGGGCTTATAAAATACTCCCAAGGACAAATAATCAATAGTTCATATCATAAAAGTGCAGTAAAAACTAGGATTAACTCAGTCCACTGTATTACTAAGTCCATTCAGAATGAAGTTTTGATCCAAACTGTCCATGAATATCTGTTATTATTATTTGTATGAGGGGTTTCGAGCTCTCCAGAAAAATTGATGTAGCTTAACTTAGTACCCAGATGTGCAATTTTTGGTTTGGGGTGCGCAAACGTGTATAAGGATGAATATGCGCTTAAATACGCATAGGCTAAGACAATGGACGCATCCGATGCAGGTGCGTACCCTTTGCAAAATGCTTGGGTAAGTTTAACATATGATTTACTGCTTGTGTTTTATGTTGAAGTACATATTTAAAAGAAATAGTTTGTAATGGGAACAAATGAAGGACTATATTTCATACAATTACTAAAAATAACATTGAATGGATTTTCTTTAATGAAATACAAGGGTATATCGCACTCACTTTAAAAATAATTCCCCTGTCGTGCCGACTCATGAAATATGCTTATCAGCTAGTGGGATATATCCTTGTATCCCACTCAAGGCCATTCAATATTGTACAAGCCTATTGAGCTGACAATAAGCCAGTTCATAGGTGCAGTCTGAGCATGAGCAGATAAAGGTCATTGCCGACCAAATTGTGAAATACACGTAGACAAAATACTGGATACGTGCTCATGAAAATTGTGTAATCATTATTCATTTATGCACAAGCAGTGCACTCCATGATACACAGGTGGAAATATTCTTTGAAAAGGCTATTTATGTAGCACCTCCATTGTTGTAAGAGTGATTATTTCAAAATGTACAAAGTGGGACCTCTTCATGTTTTGAAGACCTGTGAATATTCGGGGTCATTTGGGACATGTGCTAACCGCGAACTGGTCTATTATATCCACGTGATCATCACTCACCATATCTCGCACTGTTATCCTGCATCCATAACATAACCCCTTTGAAACATCTCCAAATGATCTGGAAGAAAATAAACACAATGTTAGTTTATATGATACAGGGTGTCCAGAGGTTTGGTATCTAGTCGCTGGTGAATGGGAGAACTACATTATGCAATCACATTTTGGGGGACATATCGCAAGAGAACAAGTCCAAAACCCTTTGGGCGACTCTGTGCAATGTGTCTTTTATCCACTTATTTTTCCAAAAGTGAAATTTGTTTGAAATGACCATTAACTTCAAGTCCTTTCTAGATAAACTACTATTAGTCAGTGGTCATATAAAAATATTTTGCATTCTTGGTGACATAACAGGATAAAAGACATACCGGTATGTGAATTGCTTTGCTTGCTTGCTTGCTAGGTGCCTTGTCTGTTCCAGACATTGGCGATCAGGGACTTCTTTGTAATGCGATGTTGTTTCTATTACCAGTCGACCAAATTAACCCCTCAATGTATTTTATGGGCTCTCTCCCTCTGCTTCTCTTTCCCTCAATTGTTCCTACCCAACAAACTGAAGTTGTCTTCTCCTTATGATATTAAGGAGGGATCTATTGACACATGCCTTATTGAGCACTTCTTCGTTTGATATCCTGTCAGTCCAAGGTATCCTAAGCATTCTTCTTAAGAACCACATTTGCTGCTTGAATGCTGCTGTTCAAGGATCATGGGACACACTGCATGAGAGTCGTCCCTTTTCACTATGGACTCACTATCCATCCAACTCCCTGGGATGTTTCAGGTTCCATCCAACTCCCTGGGATGTTTCAGGTTATGCTAAGACAACTCAGTACACTGTTCAAACGTTTTCAAGATTAAGTCAAATTGTTAAAAGGTACCTTCATAATGTACCAAAGAATGTATAAAATCAACCTCAAAACTTTTAATTAGCATTCTGAAGGATAACAGTCAAGGAGTTTGAAGACAGTAAACAATAAAATAAAACCCGAAACACGGAACCTAAGTTCCGTGAGCGCCCTAATTAATGCAAGCATGTACACGCTTGCAACACCTTATCTTCAAAACAAGACATTTATTTACATGGTTTTTTTGGTGCTATGACAGCTCCCATCACCCTGCCCGCAACACTCTGACGAGGACTGATCATCGTATGACGTCTCACACGACACTGCCAAACTGCATTGACCGTTGGCTGTCTGCTGCCCTCTATCTGGATCACTGAGCTCAGCGAGGGAATGCTGGGTAGATTCTAAGGCAGAGCATGCTGAGACATTGGTGTCAAGGGGAGCCTGAATATTTATGGACAAATGCAATTATAATTTGGGATAAATGGAGTTTATAAATTCAGTTCATTAAACACATTTAAGTGCTATAAAGTATTAATTATCATGTTCTATGAACATTCTCAGTTTTTTTTACTCTTTGAATACTACTGCCTCTGGCATGGCAGATATAGAAATATCTACTTTACTTTATTCAAGCTCTTTAAGCTACTAAATTAACTGCGCCATGGAGATTATAATAGCGGTCGGTGTCATTTTCAAATGCTTAAATATCAAATTATACCACAAAATCATTTCAACTGTCTTTTAACTCTGGATTATCATGTCATTACATACCTTACACATGATACAGCTGCCTTCATCTCCAGAACTGGAGACCATGCACAACTTTTCACCGGTTCTGAAGGAGAAAAAAAGAAGAACATTAACAGTTTCTTTATCATGAAGTACAGCATCAAATACATCTAAGCACAACATGGTCCTGGCAATTAAAAAAAAAAGAATACAAGAAATTCATCACCATCATCAGCAGCATTATCATCATCATCACCATTACCATCACCATCATCACCACCATCACCATCATCATCATCATCATCACCATCATCACCACCATCATCATCATCATCATCATCATCATCATCATCATCACCATCATCCTCCTCCTCCTCATCATCATCATCATCACCATTATCACCATTATCACCATCATCAGCACCATCATCATCATCATCACTATCACCGTCATCATCACCATCATCTTTACCATAATTACCATCATCATCATCACCATCATCATCATCATCACCATCACCATCATCATCATCATCACCACCACCACCACCACCACCACCATCAACATCATCATTATCATCATCATCATCACCATCATCATCACCATCACCATCATCATGATCATCATCATCATCACCGCCACCACCACCATCATCAACATCATCATTATCATGACCATCACCATCTTCACCATAAACATCATCATTATCATCATCATCAACATCATTATCATCCCCCCCCCCCATTCAACCATTTAGATAATATGTTATACCTCAGTACAGTTGAAACGGTGGAGGGGAACCCTACTTGTAGACCATGAATGAAGTCATCAGTGAGTTTGTTGATGCTAGCATACTGGCTTGCCTTGGTTGTAAGGGTTGGTATACACACAGACTCAACCCCCATCAGATGGTTGTATAGGGATACTTCACGACTGGGGAACTCCCTAAAAGACGGATGGATTACAAGAGAGATTAGAAAAGGGGTGAGTGAGAGAGGCGAGAGGAAAAGGAACATACAACAAATCTTCATCAAGTATCAAAAGTAGATAACCTATTGACTACCTGTACTGAACTGGTTGGTTCCTGTTTTAAACCAAAGGAATGAGAGAACTCAGTGTACAACAAGTTAATGCAGATAACTAGTTTTCAGTAGAAGTGCTTTTTAAGTCAAGATTTTCTTCTGTATTAATTATTCACCTACAACAATCACATGCCCTCCCAGTTGAAAGAGTTCTCCTGACTTCTTTTTCATTCATATGTGGATGATGAAAATTATCTTGCCAGGAGAAGAGCAAAAGTCTTGTCTTAACAAACATATTAAAGGGATCTGATAACTTTGTCTCAGATCCTTAAACAAAATCCTTGATTTAGCTTATGCTGCAATCATAATTATATACCTTTAGGTCATTCAGGAATCCCATGACTTTTACAAGCTGATCACCTGTCTGATTGTCAAGATATTTATGATTGAAAATCAAAATATCATTTTGCATTTTCCTAATGGTTTTCATAATACTACAGTCATTTGGGGGAAATGAGTGACCCGGTATGGTAAAACCGGTCATTCAAAGATTTTTTACTTTTTTGAGGCACTTCATGATCACTTTGATGCCCAATTTTTTCAGGGCTTCAATATTACACCATATCACAGACAATGATAACACGTAGGGCCATGCATCTCAGATTTAACATTGTAAAACGATGCCTTTAAAGCTAAATAATCAATAGACACACATCTTAATGAACCCTGAAACTTTTCTGTGCTACCAAGTTTAAAGTCTTAATTCAGAAATGTAATATATTCAAACAAGAATTTTATTCCTATATTGCACCGTCACAGTTCATCAATATTCAATATCTACAAACCAATCTTGAATTAATCCATCATAAAACACAAGCTCTTTTGAGTCCAACAAAGATATTGGATTTCAAGATTATCCATGAGGCTAGATTCAAAGTATACAGGACTAAAAGGCTTAACTTGCTATTTTATCCCACCCCTGCCACCATGTTGTGTTATGGGGCATGGTCTAATGTCAAATACATAACACACTGTAGATTGTGGACACAATAATAAGTGGAACCTTGAGACGATAAATAGACTCACATCTAAAGCCTCGGTCACAAATGCCATTACAAACTGCTACGAACGCCGTACGAACGATTTTCAGACAATGGAAAAACAGGGAGATTCGTACAAAATTATCGTTCGTACAAACCTTTGTGACCGTAGCATTACTCAAGTAGCGGTTTATTGGCGCGGCACAATAGGTAGAGTTACAATGAATGCGTGTCCGCATCATGTAGTTCCTGTTTACAATTTATGGTTAACTGTCATTTAATACAACAAAAGTCTCACAGGGATAGCAAATAGGGAACAGATTAGAGCCATCTTGACACATTCTAGATTAGAGAGCTTCAGGGCTTTTACCTCAAGGGCCTGACGAAGGTGCTGTCGCCCTCTCTGTTGTCTGCAAAACCAACCTCCAGTGGCACGGTGACCCCGCGACCCTGTGCCATGCCAGACAGCACACGTGATGCCAGGTTGGTCCCGTTGTCGCCCAGCATGACCTTCGTGTGACCTGTCTGCTTGGCAATGTCAGCAAGAAGCCTGTGCCTGCAGGAGAAGAATTTCATTTGGAAATAAATATCTACATCAGAAGAAATAATAACAAACTAAGGTAACTTAGGGAAATATACTGGCATGAAAAGAGGTGTGTGGAATGCAAAATGCGTAATTGTTGAATATCATAATTCAATCACACAGAAGTAGAACTACATTGTTAGGATATGAAGCTGGTAAATACATGTACTATTTTGATTAGGCTCATTGTTCATTCAGAATTATCTGTGTCACTACATTCCGCTAATCCACCTAAAGAAAGAAACCCTTGTCAGGGTTCCTAGCGTTTCATGAAAAAACAAATTCTCTGATTTTTCCCTGATGGAAGTTTCAAAATCCATGACGACTAAAGGAGGCATTAAGTACTCAGAGCCAACACAGCATATCATTCAGATGATGTGCTGTTTGGACAAGAGAAAAACATATGATTATACTTTCTTTCTGGACTGATGAAATTCCTTTAATTTTCTTTGACTTCAGGTGAATTTTCTCAACCAGGTTCCTATTTACTACACCAGGGTGGAGAGCGGCAATGCAGAGTAATGTCTCACCCAAAGTACATCAGTGTCATGCTAAGGCACAAATCCACCGGCTAAAACACTCGACAAAGACAAATCTACTCATGAATACTGACCTCAAAGTCTTCACAAGATCTTCTTTTGCTGTCAACGACTTGACACTGTCCAAGATGTCTTGTAATCGCTGACTGGCTTCATCCTGGATGCTCAGTTGACTGAAGTGCTCCATCGCCATGGTAACATCATCCTCATCTTTTACTCTAAGAGTAGACTCTGCTGATAGTCGCAAGCTGAAAACCTGCAATTTTAAAGTGCAAATATATTCCGAAAAATGAAATAGACTAGAATAATATTTTTTTCTCTTTTCTCTATCGTCTAAAACTTAAAACTTTAGAATATACCCAAGCATTAAAGTAACTATTGTATGCACATATGTCAGTTCTAGTGTTTAATTGTACTTTTAATTCTATTTTTATTATTCTAGTACTCTAAATTTGGTTATACCCAATGTTTTCAATCTTTTCATTTGTGATATCTACTGTAGTTCGGCTTTTAGCCGCGATGGATTTCATCTCCCAATATTTGTGTATATTGTTACTTGCTTTTTGCATGTTTACATAATAAATCTTATTAGATCCTTCCCCTTCCCCCTGAATCTCTTTTAGACATGATGCAAATAAACATGCTGTAACTGTTCATTTATAATTGGCAATTTGATCACTGTTTCATGAAGACCAGATTATTGCTACACAAAATCAACCAATGCACCCTGTTACTTTAAACCAACACAAGCAGAGCTGTCATGTGAGAAGTATCAACAGAAAAGTGAAAGTAATAAAGGTTTTTTATTCTGGTTATTTGTTAACTTCATATTTTTCATTCTCCTTCAGTCATGGTATGTATCCCTTAACGGAAAAATATGCATTTCCACAGGGTTACCATACTTTCTGTATAGACTAATCTTTGGACAGTTGTGAAGGGGGATGGGGGGGGGGGGTGGGGGTAGTATATGCTAAAGAATGATGCAATAATAGGACTGTGATGTATGCAAGAGAATGATGTATGATGCAATAACAGGGTGATGCAATACAGTGAAATTCTTACCTCTTCTATAGGCACAACACATGTCGGGAGGTCGTATGCGTTCATGAGTTTTGTAATGGTCTCTCTGTTTGCACGTCTCTCCTCAGGGGTCTGCTGTGTGATAATCCCATCTAGAAGATTTCAGAGATAAAATTCAGAGGTCAAAATATAAATAATAGCAGGTTCTTGTATAATTCTCAAGACTGTAATCTACATTGCACTCCTGGCACTGCACTATTACTACCATGGCTTCAGCATGGCTGCTATTACGATGCTCAATCATAATAATATGATTGCAGGGCCCTCAGGGAGAACAGTATGAATACTGATGAGGCTACCCTAGGTAAACAAGACATATTATTATTATTATAGCATTTGAAGGAATTTAACCCCGCCAGGTACTCAGGCTCACCCAAGTCAAGTGTAGCAAATATAGATTAAAGTCTTGCCAAAGCATGTGAGTGATGTGACAGGGATTTGAAGCCTGTACCTTGTGATCCATAGTACAGTGACCTATCCACTACACCACATAACCTCTACAGAATGGAGTAAAAATTAATTAAATAGGGTAAGACAAACAAAGAGTGTACATGTATTCAAAAGTAGAACTGTTTCATTTCATCAAGCATGTAACACAAATCAGCCAAACTGAACATTTGCATGTAGATGACCATGTTAGGGACAGGCATAGTCATGGATAATAAATTTTGATATAATAGAATTTCAACTTCAACTTTAAAGGGAGAGGGTCAAGGTTGTCAGTTTCCATGTGCAGAAGGTCATAATTTGCTGACACCAGACTTGGTGAATATACCATTGATGGGTGTACCAGTCTGCACACAGCAAACCCATATTAAAGACCGTCAATACTACTGGGCCAGAAGGGATTAGACCACACAGCGAGGTCACTGACAGGTGGCTATCTCATTAACTCAGCTCTCAACTAACATAAGAAAAAGAGGATCATGGGGGACCAACAGGCACCGATTGGAAAAGTTTTCTATATAAAGGGAGCAAGTAGCTACAAGTAGGACAGTGGGGCTTTAAAAAAAAACTCTCTTCGGGTGAAAATAATGAATTTAACATATGGGGGGGGGGGGGGGGGGATGGTGGAAAATTCAAAGCATCAAATAAGGCCGATTGGTCATAGAACTGAAGGCCAATAGTGGTGATTGACAACACCTGCTATTGGGTAACCACCCAGATGGCATTGATTCCCCCATGACAGCCCAGGGCCCCCGTCTTACAAAGAGTTGATCCAAATTGATCGCAAGTCCAGGCGCGGATCCAGGATTTCTTAGGGGAGGGGGCCCAACTTTTTTCTTTTTTTTTTTGCTCCCGAAAATTTGAAAATCGCGCCGGCCGAAAAGTCGCTCAGTGGGGGGGGGGGGGTACAGAGCACAATTTTTTTTTTTTTTTTTTTTTTTTTTTTTTGCTCCCGAAAATTTGAAAAACGCGCCGGCCGAAAAGTCGCTCAGTGGGGGGGGGGGGGGGGGGGGGGGGGGGTAGTGAGCACATTTTTTTTTTTTTATCCTCAAAAAAATTTCAATTTGCACCCCCCCCTTGAGCGCCAGGGGGGGGGCCCAACCCCCAAAAAAGGTAAAAATCACGTGATTTTACATGATTTTTTCTCAAGGGGCCCCCCCCTGGATCCGCCACTACGCAAGTCCTCCAATCAATCGCAAGTTTGCAGTCTCCTATCTCTTATTGCGATTGATATCAACTCTTTGTAAGACGGAGCCCAGGACTATGCATCTTTAGTTTCAACTCCAATAGTACAATAACTCCACCAATCCTCAATCATTACATAAACACCCTTTCACATCGATCACTCACCATCGATGTAGATGAGACTTGGGACGAATCTGAACGCTTATGCTGGTTCTCGGATCGACCTTCATGAATCAGACGAGCCACAGCAGAAGAGTTCTGACCTCCAGAGAATGCTATCAGAACCTGGAAGAAACCAAATTGGCAACAAAAATGTATGGGAGTTGACAGCATTAATTTTCATCTTACCAACACCGTCATTCAATAATGATTTGTTTTAAACACTGCAAAAAATACTACAGATTTATAACTAGATGGAACTTCGACTGCGCGCAGTCGAAAATGATGCCTCCGTCATAGAGCAATTTTACAAACCAAAACAGAAGAAATTTTTCAAATTCAAGTTCAATTGTAATCCATTAACAGGTTCTCAGAATATTGTGATTACAAGCAATTTCTCATATACATATATGACCCTTTGATCTTTGACCTAATGACCCTAAAATCTACTCAGTTCATTGGCTCTGCAAGATGT